TATATTGTATGCATGTATTGTATCTGTATCTGTGCATATTTGTTGCTGCTGCTAAAAACAACACACAGAATCAGTTAAAAAGACGCTTCAAGACTTGTGTCTGTCAAAACTGGTTTGCCAGCCCCATTTGCCCAGTCCTCAGTTCCCATCCAGCACGGACAATTCTCGTCACACAGTCACATGCAAAAAAAAATACGAAAAAAAAAAAAACACTCAACAACGACGGCGCATTGCAATTGACAAACAGACAGTGGGACACAGTGCCACAGACAGACGGAAGAGACGAGCGGACAGACAACACACGTTGGGTCAGTTGCACACACCCCGGCAGGGGGTAAGCAGTCGCAGCTTGGCGGCTGTACCGGTACTGGCACCGGCATGGGGGCTCCACTGCGACTACCACCACCAATGCCCCAGCGTACACGCCGAATTGGGGGCCTTGTTTTGATGGCCTGGCCAGTTTGGTGCTACAACACCAAACGACAAGCAACAGCTGTATTTTATTTGAATTCAGTTTTTTTTTTTTCGGCTAAGCGAGACTTGAGCTGCAAGCTGGACTTGAGATTTGATGGGGCCACAAAAAGAACAAATCAAATGAAGTGAAATGTGTGGGTTCCACATTCATTGGCATTAACACTGCGAGCATCTCGAATTTAACAGATGATATAATAATAGAAGGCCAAAGTGGCATACGATATGGAGTATACCGAAATCAGTGTTATTTTGGATTCCTCTTTGAAGCGTCATCGTAAACGTAACGTTTCTGTTACGTCAGTGGCAAAATATGGGCATTCCTCTTTCAAGCATATTCGTAAACGTTGCTTATATGAGCGCATTTTCTAAACGTCAGCCAAGGAGTTTAGGCTTACACATCTCTCTTCACTTTCTTCTTTGAAGCGCATCCTTAATCGTAACGTTCCTCTTTCAATTACATTCGTAAATAAATTCGTAGGTGTCATACTTCTTTAACTAACTTCGTTTCGTGAACATTTTTGCAGTTTTCCGTGTTTCTTGAAGCATATTCGCAAACGTTACATTTCTGTACTTCAACTATAATATTTTGGCATTTCTTTTTCAAGCACATTCGTAAACGTTTTACTAAAAATATATCTTGTACTTGACACTGAACTCTGCAAGCTATCAGCTCTTCATAAATTTGTAATTCCGCGTCATAGCATTTTCCTCAAACGTCATTCCATTTACAAAATGTTTGATATCAATTCATGTTGGCAGAGCATTCACAGTTCGCTACATTTAGATCTCAAAGTCAAATAACATTTCTATCTATTTATTTATTTGCTTTTTGTATTTTTTTCTGAATTAAAAAATTTATTTTTGCCAAGCGCTTAGATTCAGTCTGTACTGTTTTGTCGGCAATCGTTGCTATTGTTGTTGTTGTCGTTTTTGCTGTTGCTTTTTTAATTACATTTCATTTAAATGTCAGCAGTGTTGTACATTTTTTGCCGCACGCTTGTTAAACGAAATGCAAAAAATAAAATAGAGGGAGAGAGGGAGAGAGAGAGGGAAAAAATAAAACTTGTTGCTTGACTGGGACTGAGACAGAGACTGAAACTGAGACTGAGACTGAGGCTGCCGACTGGCATCGAGACTGGAGGCTGTGTCAGTTGGTCGGTTTCGTGTGAATCTCAGCCGGAGCTGGTCTAGTCGTCATCTCCGTATAGAACATTTAGCGCTATCTATGAGCGGAAATCGAAAATTACCACTGCGCAGATTGGAGCGATTTACATTAGATTAGAGCGAAGCGAATGCAGGCAAAGTGCAATAGTTGCATTGACAGAGCGAGAGCGAGACAGCGGGAGAGAGAGAGGGAGAGACAGTAAATGCAATGGAATGGTAAACAAAACTATATGCCCGGACGCATTGCGATCGTATCTCTGATAGAGGAAGCTGTAAAATGTAGCGAGGACGGGACTGTGAAAAGTTTTGCTTAACAGGATGTACAAATGACTGTAACATTTACAATGCTTGCAACAAGCAACGCCCCCAGTGCGCTGGCTGGCAACACAGCAGCTGCTGCTGGTGCTGCTGTCGTGGGTCCCAGCAGTGAGTTGCCCACCCAATGTGCAACAGCAACAGCCAGTCACAGCAGTAGCAGCAGCAGCAGCAGCAGCAGCAGCAGCACCAGTCATAAATATCGCAATGAGCTGTTTAAATGTCACACACAACGCTGACAAATTAATCAAAAATTATCAGCGGCCAAGCATCGGCTGCAACAGCAACA